TATGTATGGGCGGCATGCACAAAAGCGCGTTTTTTTTGTGGTAAAACCGGATTCGCTTTGTTTACAAACACGAATTCGTTGCGGTAAATACGATTTTATGCGCGGACGATAGGCGAGCGACGAATCAAATAGATTGACAACCGGAACGCATGGCTCCGTATGCCAGCCCTTGACTAACTAGGTTAGGTTGCTTCCTTCGCAGTCCCCTTCAATTTGAACCTGGCTGTACTAGAAAACACGCGCGTCTCTGAGGACGAATATGTGAAAATTCATTTCAGGAAGTCTGATAAGTATTCACCCCACAGGGGTTTGTAATACATTAGGGGAACTTGTCACGAATTCCAGGACGTATTTCTCTGCACGAAGCTGCTTCTACTCTCGCAACCGTCTTGTCCTGTTCATCCACCATGCCTGGTGAAAATTTTTCACTGTAGATTGGATCATCCAGTACACTGAAAAGACAGATCTAGGCGAGACCACCCTTTGTCAGTATTCAGCTAGGAATCCTTCGTCGAATCGACTTTCATGTCAATGCAGCGTCAGCAAGCACGCTGAACAAACTCTGTATGAATACTCTTCCATGTTAGCTATCCACAGTTATGCTTACGAACTGTCTGCATTCTCAGTAATTCGAGCAATTTGATGCACCGACTACCAGCAGTCAAAGTGCCTCAGACCACTGACATGCTTCCAACACTGAGAGGTTAACCGCGCTGTACTGTGCGGTGAAACTTCTTTGCTGTTCATACCCTTGTTCCAGAAAATTCTCTGATTCCTTTGAGTCAATCGATCACACGAACTTGAGCGTGCTGAGAGGCGGTAATCTGATCAGTGTCAAGGGTCGCGAACGCGTGTGAATGAGGCCGAAAGGGGAATAGGATGCCGAATACAGCCAGTACTTGCGTACAACACTGTTTTGTTCCCTGCACACGTGGAGGACCCTGAGGAACAAACGGAGAGCCACAGGGCAGAGCTGGAAGACAGAAGCCACCGCTCCAGAAGAAACAACCGCATTTCACAGTGCACTCACACAACCAACACCACAAACAGTTCAGGTGAGAACCGGCAAACCGTGGCGAAGAAGCACCTGCCACACAAACAGTGTCTATACACACACACACGCCAGCCAACCGAAAGAATGTGCACAGAAATTAGGCGCAAAGTTGAGACAAACAACTAGACTATTGACGACAAGACAAGTAGCCTGATTAGATTCCTAGAAACGCTAGCAAAATAAAATCAGAAGCATATACGAGGAAAACTGATGATAAATTGTCCCTGATAATCAATATCACCGGCAGTTGATCAGGACCACAAGAATATAAAAGTATTTCAGTCCTACCACAATTTGTTCAGGAAGTCGATCTCGAAATTCCCAAAGAGATACACGGTAAAGCCTTTGCTGAAATGCCTGGTACATCTTTTTTGAAAGAAAGCAGTAGCTTGGATCCCAGCAACATGAGCTGAAATCAAGCTGACCAATTCGAGTGTCTCAGCAGCACAGTAAGTTGAAAGGATTCTCCTTTATGCAATTGAAAGAAACCTCTGGCCAAACGGTGAGAGAAGGCGCTGGCTGCAAATTCACACCATGTTCTGCGTTAAGCTAATCACACACGGCATGGTTTAACTCTGTTCTGTTCAGGTGAATGAGTCATTCATTCAGGTGGTACCTGGCTGAGACCAAACAACGAAACAAATAGTTCTAAACCGGTTGTGCCGAGGTGCCTGTCATAAATTTCCTGTTACCATCATGGTTAGAAACGCCTGATTGGGGGAACAGGGGCTTGGCCATTCTTCGGCTAACGCGAGGACATAAAAATCACGCTACTTAAAAATTGGGCGAGATAGTCCAAGTGGTTAGAGTGGGAATTTACTGACCGAAAGGTCCGTGGTTCGAACCCAACCTCTGCCTCTCGAATTTCCCTATCTAGGCTTGGTCAACCTGGCAGTATCTCAGTCTTCCTTCGGGTGACATGGCACTTAGGCACCGAAAGGATTCGACAGCTGAAAGATTTATTTTTTTACATAAAAACTGACAAGAACGAATCTGTTCATTTTGAACTGTGCTAGACCTCTGAAGGACCGCGATCACGATACGGTAAAATCCAAGACGGCACTCGGCTCACGTATTGGCCCGGGTTAGCAGATAAATTATGGATAAAAACACGTATGTTTCGGAGAACTGCGACAAAATGGAAGCGATTGGGACGCTAGTAGTATGAGTAGTATTTGCATACCTTGGTTGAAACTGAGCGAAAAATCGCGGGGTAGTATTAATCCATGTGAAGGACATGGAGTAGACCAACAAGCCACAGCTAAGGAGCCGATTTTTTTTGGATGCGAATGGATCACGGCAAAGACTGACGACATTTAGAATGTTCGAAGATGATTTAAAAGGCGTTTCGTCGAACAGGCGTTCTTGACCCTCCTGAGGGCGCTGTACGCTAACTCCCGCGGACCTGTGAAGGTCCACGGGAAACTGCTGTATAAGTTCACTACATCCAATAGGGTCAGACAAGACTGTCATCTTTCACCTTTTTTCTTCAACTTCGTCATTGAAACGATTATGGATGACTCACTACAAGACTCTGATGCCTGTGGGAACAAAGCGCTCCCGGGGCCTCCGCTCACAGATATCGAGTACGCAGACGACATAGCTCTTCTTGGGATCCGACACCGTCGTAATGCAAACAATATTAGGCAATCTAAATAACTCCGCCTCGCGACTTTGAGCTTCACTCCTGAAAAGTGTAGAACACTGCTGCAAGAAAGCGTGAGCTCCAATACTAACCTTGCAGATCAGCCAGTTGAGGCAAGGCGAGAGAGACCAAGTGGTTAGAGTGTGAACTTACTGACCGGAAGGTCCGTGGTTCGAACCCGACCTCTGCTTCTCGACTTGCCCTGTCCAGGCTTGGGCAACCTGGCAGTATCCCAGCCCTTGTGCCTCCTTCGTGTGGCAAGGTAACTAGGCACCGAAAGGGTTCTACAGTTGAACGATGAAATAAAGTTGAGGCAGCTGTAACAGCCTCCGTTATCCATTCTGATTGGGAAGGTTGTGTGTGCCAGACAAGCTTTCGTGAACCTGCATCGCCTGTGGCGTCGGTGCGAGTCAACTTATCCGTTGATGGTCGAGTTAACAATGTTGAGGGGTGCTCCCCGTACGGGTCAGAAACCTGGCAGTTGCGCGCCGAGGACGTCAAAAAGTATGTTCGCAGCATTGCCTGAGTCTTGTGAGAACACTGGATGAGCAATGCTGAAGTACGTCGGATGGTTTTCGGAAGAAATAACTCATTCACGATAGTTGAACTGATCGCACTCCATAGGCTGCACTCGCTTGGTCACGTGCTTCGTATGTCAGTCGACCGACGTCCTCGGAGGGCTCTTTTCGAACAACCACGTGGAGAATGGAAACGCGCCACGGGATATCAAACAATGACTTTGAAACAAAGTATGAAGGCCATTACCAGGAAACTCAGCTGTGGTTGTTATCGCCGTCTACCTGGACGCAAACTCCGAGACAGGACACATCAATGGTTGGAGACACTGTCGAACATGGGTCAGTCGCGTCCTCAGTTGCCTTCAGTGCACGACTCCCTTCCGGATCTTCCCACTCGCAACCCCGGGTTAACTCAGCCATCATCTCCAATAAGAAGCTACCTACCCAATCTACACAAATCGTCCGCAAACGGAATTGTGGCAGCTATAACCACTGTGTACGGTAAATGAGCGGTACTTACACTTGGTGAGGATGGCGCTTGCGTGCGTGCGTTCAAATTGTTCTTTTCAAAAGGGCTTTTTTAAGAATTTCATGAATGCCATATACCGATAAGAATCGTGGGGTGATAGTGTATGCAAGAGTATAAAAAATCTGAAAAGTTCCTTCCTTTCTGACAAAGATGCCCAATCCTCAGGTGTTTGATCAGTTCAACAATCGATGATATAATCGGAGGAAATCCCGGCGTTCAGACCTCTGCAAGCCTGAACCTGGAATTCGCAGACACCATCGTCACTGTTTTGAAAAGAGGGAAGAAACGCAAGGGTCGGTAGGAAAGCTGACTGACCCTTCGGCACATGCCTTGCGCCCAAAGACTGAAAAGTAAGACTGTGGGATGTACAGCCACTACACACTCCACCAGGGGATAACGGCGGAGCAATATCTCGCTCGTAACTTGCGTTAGCTCTGATGTTGGCGAAGGTAACAAACGAACCACAAAGGCAAAGACTCCTTTCGCCAATTCGCGTCACGATTGGCGTCAAAAATCATTTCAATGGGTCTCAAAGAGTATGTGGGGAACAGAGTATGCTCTGTGCCGTTTTGTGGCCGCGAGACTTGGTCAATGAGGGTAAAGAATGAGGGAAATTTGCGGGCCTTCGATCACCGAATTACAAGAAAATCGTAAGACCATTTTGGCACCTAGCTGCCATACAACCCGAAGGAAGCACAAAGGCTGGGATAGTGTCAGGTTGCCCAAGCCTAGACAGGAGAAGTCAAGATGCAGAGGTCAGTAAATTCGCGCTCCGACTACCTCGCTGTGACACATGAGAGCCGCAGCTGGAGTCGGCTAGTTCCAAGAAATTTACAAAGTGAGGTAACCAGCAAACCGACGAGTACTTCACTTGAGGACTGTACCCAGCGGTGCAAGTCATCAGGGCTCGGCTATGTGCCACTTCTACCCAGAGACTAATTCAAAGTAGCAAAACCCAAAGGTGATTGGCCAGAAGCGAATAAGCGTTTAGAAACGTCTGAGCGCTCTAATCACTTGGTCCACTTGGTATAAGCATATCAGACGTTTGCGTTAGGCTAGGTACCTCTCTCTATTTCGTCTTCTTTTCACCACAGGATTCTGTGGGGCAACGCCGTCAGTGATGCTGGTTATCAAGATAAAATGACAGCCGAGTTCGCAGCAAGAAAATAAGGGCAAGAAGAGACAAGGGCGACGTAATAACTGTGAAACAACTCCCCCTCACGAGAAAAAAAACAAAACTGGGCAAGCCATTACCTGCATGCTCTCGGTCTCTGGGACAGACGGGCTGATCCGGTTCAATTCTGAGGTGCCTTGCCTGCAAAGTCACAAAAAAATGTACACAAAAGTGGTTAGAACGTTTATTCAATTTTTCTTTAAAAAACATGTAATATTGACTATTCTGCGCGTAACGGTCCTCTATGCAGAGATATTACGGTCTTTTTTCTCCCGGACTGCTTTAAGGCTGGAAGCGCCTGAGAGATATTGCCCGAACCTCTCTAATTCGAACTGCAAGCGAGTATTCCTGGCCGAAGCGAAATATTTTGTCTGAGGGACTGGCACCCATAGCACAGGCTAAGGGGAGGTGTCAATTCTTGTCGAGATAGGTCTGTAAAAAAAGTAGTAATATGGTAAAAGAAAGTGTTCTAGAACGATAACACCTAATTTTCTACCTGCCATGATTACAGATGGAATCCGTACAGGGGATAGTCACAACGGAAGTATTGTGGTTTGACCTAGCTACCCAGTTCGGATGATTTGCCGTGCTCTAGATTAAAAAAAATCGTTCAGCTGTAACCCCTTTTCGGTTCCCCGTTGCCGTGCCACCCAAAAAAAGCACGAGAACTGGGATACTGTCAGGTTACCCAAGCCTAGACAGGGGAAGTCGAGAAGCAGAAGTCGGGTTCGAACCACGGACCTTCCGGCCAGTAAATTCGCGCTCTAACCACCGAGCCGTTTCGCTCCATGTTCTAGATCGGTTGGTTTGTTTTTTTAACTTCCGGCTGAATCACTCTCACGTAGTACCCTGAATGCATGGCATTGCGTTACTGAGACTCTCATGTCACCTGCGTACATCACTCCTTTGGTAATTCATCAATGACGATAACCGACAGTCTGTCCAATCGCAACTGGCGTTTCAACTCCAGCCTGTGTAAGTTCCGGTGACAGAACAGACAGAAGCAGCACTCACGAGACTGCTGGAAATTCACTCACAGCTGACAATCGGTTTAGCCTTTCACGAAGCTCATCAGGTAGGGAACAGCGAGAGTAACGATGTGTTCTGCTAGTCCCAACCTCATCACCATTAGATTTGTTCACATCACGAGCACTTCCCCGATGCCGTAGCATTTGTTTCAACATCATGATCGAAAGGTCCAACGGCCAACAGTACACACGGGACGACGGGAAACTCGACAATACGAGTGAGCCCTTGGTTCAGGGTCCAGTGGGCGGTAGCTCGTCGAATCACTGAGATCCAATCCAGCATAGCGCGTTCAGCTCTGGGACTGAGTGCAACTCCCACGCCATATATTCCACGAGTCATCGCTCCTGGGTCACCGTACACACGGAGGGAGAAATGTGAAAGAGCTGAGTTCATCCTGGGCGTTCTGAGATGCAGAACCATGCTCGGGTCTTGTATGCGTGTTTCGGAGACACAGCATACATCGATTTTAAGGGAGTACAAGGTTTCAGCAAGCATTGCCTGTTTGCCAATTTGACATAGAGTACGGACGGCTCCTATATAGAAAGGATCTCGTGGATTTAGAAAGGTGTTATTTTGTTTAATGTTTATAGGCAGTGAGGAGCATAAGGCCCTTCGGTCAGATGACTGACAGCCAAATGGCCCAGCCACGTTTGCTTGTGCAGTGGGAAGGGGTTGGGGAGGGACATCGGTGGACGCTGAACTGCGCGAGTAAATGATACTTCCCGGTTGCCCAGGCCGAGGAAGGGGGTTTGGTTGAGGTACCCCACCTTGAGCCTTTAACTCAAAAGTCTGACCCACAAGGCAGTGGGATGACGTAGGGTTTTGTTCGGGGACCCTGACCCTAGCCTCTGACTCA